TTTATTTAGAGTTTCAATAGATGTCGCTAGATATATGACAATATGGCGTCTTTCAACATATAAAGAATAGTTTTTTTTTTTGAAAAATAAACTTTCTCAATGTAAATAATGTATGAGCTGCACTATGCAACATTCTTTTCTCCAGGTTATGAATTGATAAATAAATTGGATATTAAACTCTAGTTGATCGGATATTCAAGTTTTATACATGAAAATTATTACAAATAGATCAATTTGTTATGTCTTTCCTTTGTTAAAATAGAAAATGTCAGTTGTTTTTGAAGATCTTTTATTAAAGAAACATTTATGAAGCATCAAGTAACAGATTGTGAACCTTGTTAGTGCATTTAATCATTTAAAAAGATAAAACTCTGACGACGGAAGTCATTCAACTGATTAATTGCTTTCGAATCGAGGTTATATATATCATTTATATCCTAATGAGCTATGAATACTTTGAAAAAGAACTCGAATCGTTAGCTTATTGGTGTGAAAATGACTGCACTTTTATGATATTTTTTAAAAATGAATACTATGGTCTTCTTCGAAACATCAGAAAAACTAATATATCCAAACATAAGTTTTCATGATGTTCTTAAGGGGTACTAGAGCTCTGATTTCAAAAATGCAGTATTTTCGCACTAATAAAATACGAGAGCGAACCTTTTTTTTAAAGCATTCATAACTCATTATAGTCTATATGGTGCACATCATGCCGACTAAAAAGCGGTTAATTACTTGAGGAACATCCGTCATAAGACTAGATTATTATTAGACAATTATTGGTTATTCATGGCAAGGTGAAATGTTTGAATGAATCAATTGCTCTTGTTAGAATTACTTCATCTACAACATTTTCTCTAAGTGATCTTATATTTGCATTAGATTACGACACATCTTCAAAACTTGATTTGTTATTTCACTATGAAAATAGTCAATTAAAACTTTAGGGTAGAAGATAAATTGATTTATGTTCAATAACTAAAACACGATGAACGAAATCTATATAGTTAACGATATTCTAAAAGCTGAGAAAAAAAATTATTTTTCGTAAAAGTTAAGCCTATAGTACCATCTTCTTGTTGTAATTTATGCTTAACATTCAAACTTCAGCAGAGAATTGTATTAATATAATTATAGCATTCATTTATAATATTCCCTTTGTTTCTTTTTTTTTTTTTATAATAAATACAAAGAAAACAACTATTTAAATACAGCAATGTCAGTTTTATTCATCACATATGATCTTATATTTATTAACATACTCATAATAGTGTGCACTTGACATACACTTTCAATGACAATTAAATCTGATGAAAAACAAAGTTAGTACTATCTTTCACTTTAACGCTTTGCACATGTCTAAATGAGTTAATATTATGAAACACAAGAATAGATTTGATTTTATCAACATCGACTTTTTCTACTTACATAAACCTAAAGAACAATTGATAAAAACCAAATAATGAAAAAATAGTATACTTATGTTATGAAAATGGACATAAATTCTGTACAAACTTTTATTATAGTAAAAACCGTGACTATAATCAAGTCTACCGACGTTCAAAGCTTTTTATCATATGTTTCCATAAAAATCAAATTCTTCAATTATAAACGGATGATAATAATAATTGAAATTTCCAATACGAGCCATCCTTACATATTCACTTCTACCTGTAGAGTTTACCGTGACTATAAAATAAATAATCTCATTTTATGACTACTCGTTTCGTTACGAGATCATTATCCATCGTTTGAGCTCATATGGCGCTTACAAGGACGCTTTAGCTAGGTAAGAAAAACCGTTAAAGGATTGCTCTCTGTAAATCTTTGAAATCCTATTATGATCGTTTTACAGAGTTTTCGAGTCAATTTCAAATACATAAAAAAAAATAGAATTTCGACGTAAAATTTTGTCCATATATAGATTTGATGAGCTATAGAATATCTTAAAACTCGATTTTTGTAATGTACCTTTAAAAAACGACTATTTCTGTGAAGAATATAAATTGTTTACAAACAGAGATTATAATAATTAGCAAGAACTTTTATAATTTACGATGATACTGGCGAACATTCGTCCTAACTTAAAATCTTGTTCATACCAGTCTGTATCTTATTATGACATACGTTATCTTATCGATCAAGATTACTGTCGAAAACATTGTGAAGAGACTCATTGCAAATTAAACTGCTCTAGAAGTTTTTTTCTTCTTCAGCTCCATCATTTCATTAAGAAAAATGCATCAGTAAGCAAGAACAACTTTGCAATTAATTTCGATTGTTTTTTTTTTTCGTTGCATATTTTAGATAAACTAAAAAATAATAAATCATGATATCATATCATCTAATAAATCTCATAGCAACTTGTCGGTAGAGAAAGATAAATAATTCCTATCAAATATTTGTTAGAATGAGTTACATTTCACAGATGTTTTTCTCTCTATCTTTTTTTTTTGCTTTTCTCTGACATTTATTTCATCGATTTCAGACTTTTGTTCATTCTATGTCTTCTTGTCTGCTATGTTTTTTTTAATATTACTATAAAAAAAAAAGAACGCAAAATAGGAAAGAATAATAAATAAGAAAAGAGAAAATCTCAGACTAATAGTAGAGAAAAAAAGAAAGATCAAACACACACACACACATATACACCTGAAGAAACTTTACGCACAAGAGCAAATCTAAATGTCGGTGAGTATACATTTGAAAATTTTAATTAAACAAAAAATAATTTTTTTTTTCTTCAGCGAACACAAACAAAATTATCAAGTCATCAAATACAAGGTAATACAAAAAAAAAGTAACATCTATGTTACTTATTTTTTGTTTTTGAATTTAATTAAAAAATTAGAATTACATGATGCATTCAATCTTTTTGATCGAGATAAAAGTGGAACTATATCATCATCTGAAATTAAACAAATATTAATTGCTTTAAATTTTAAACCAACAGATAGTTTACTTCGAAAAGTAATGAAAGAAATGGACAGTAATGGTATGTAATTTTCGAATGCAAAAAGACAAAAAAGAGTTGTAAACTTAATATTTTCTAGGTAATGGTACGAGTAAGTTTTATTTTATTTTTTTTAAACAAAAGAAACAAACTTTTATTTTCTACACAGTTGAATTTGAGGAATTTGTTAAAGTAATGGGAAGTATTTATGAACGAAAATTTACAGAAGATGAAATGCGTCGAGCATTTAAATGTTTCGATACAGATCAGTCTGGTAAAAAAAAAAAGAAACTTCTTTTTTTTTTTTTTTTTGTTTAAAATTTTTATTCATTTATTTTAGGTTATATTACAATTGATGAATTACGTCAAGTTTTACATCAATTAAATCAAAATATAAGTGAACAACGAATTGTTGATGCTTTAAATCAAATTGATATTGATCATGATGGAAAAATTAGTTTTGAAGAATTTGTACAATTATTTCATGAAGTATGATAAACAGTTAATAAAAATAAAAAAAAAAAAACATTATCGTTTTTGTACTTATATATTTTCTTTCTGTTTCTTTGTTGTATTTATCAATGAATGTTAATCATAATTAGAAATAAATATTTCAAAGCTATTAAAAATTAGTTGAAAAGAGTGAAAAAATTCATTTTGAATTGTAATCAACAAATATAACAATCATCATTGCTTGGTTATTCAATGCAACATATTCTTCGAAATTTGTTAAATACAGATCATCGATATGAACTTCATGAAAATGAAATCTATTGAAATGCATATTAATGAATTTCGGCGAAGAGCACATCGACTGTATTGATGGGTCTTTTTGTAATAGAGTTAGCTTCGTCTTATAGAATTTCGACATGAAAGGTTTTCAATGTATATGTAAAGCTGAGTTGAAAAGTCATTAAAACGATGTTAATTTGGCTCTAAAGATTGATGTGAATGAAATCTTTTAGATTTTTGATAGTCTCACCAAGGCGTGTTTATTATATGGTTGTTTTCTGCAAATATATTTAGCTCAAATGAAAACAAGCAAGTTTTCTAACACAAAATGAATCTGACATATGCCTTTAGTAAATGATCTTAGCATAGTAATGTTTATCATAGGGTGGCAGATTTTTCAATTGTAATGAGCATGTAAACTTGACAAAATTTAAATCTACAAGAAAAATGGAATTTAATGTTTTATTCTCATCATTCTTCAGAAGTTTTTTGTTGTTATTTTTCTTCTATTTATATCACTATTATTAAAAAAAGATAATATTATTTGATAATATTCCATTTAAAACATTGTCATAAGTACTTGAAACTCATATAGATATAGATGGCTAGGAATCAGACATGAGATCGAATTGGGTTTTACTGGTTCAAGTTCGGTTCGGTTGTCTTTTTAGTGATAATACATAAGCTCACTAGATTATAGAAGATTCTTTATCGTAATACGAAAGTTTAAAAGTGAAGAAAATAAAAGAATTATGTAGCGTAGAAGTGATCCATTGTCATAAACACAATTAGTATGAAGTGAAGGAATGCTGGATTATAAGGAAGTCAAATGATCAATCAAAGTTCGTTTTATTTTTGCCGATTATCTGTCACTCTTACAAAAATAGAGAATGTAGTTCAAACCTAGGAATTTTATGATGGGAGGCGATCATGATCATAAAATGTGCTTTAAAACTTATTTGATAAACGTTTTGTGATAGGAAAAATCGACAAGAGTCTTTTGAACGACGATCGCTTCTTCTAAATCCGCTACTGTTCGGATCGACTTAGCTTTGGTCTCGTACATTCTTTATATAAAAGGGACATCTATTGATGATTATTTCTACTGGTTGGCTGAATAATAAACCATGGATTTAACCATTCCAAAAGTGTGTCAGATACAATAACAGCTCATCAACTCAATGCTTACGTGTCAATTTGATTCATTTAGGAATGTATTTTAAATTGTTCACTTCTACAACTTCAATAGGATATTCATACGCAAAATAATCTAATAGCATAAATATATATATATATATCTTTTAAATTAACAATGCCAATACAATTGTCAGATTTTCAGAGTAAAAACGAAATAAAATTTATTTATATTTATAAAACTTTTTTCTATGTTAATAGAGATCGGTCTCGGTCTGTCAATATTTGGTGTTGGTTTTATTTTTCTTGGTATGATTTTTTTATTTGATAAAGGTTTACTTGCAGTTGGAAATGTAAGATATCATAAATTGATATTATTTTATCATAATATATTTATTTAATTAGATTTTATTTCTTGCTGGTTTAAGTATGATTATTGGATTTGAACGTACATTTCGATTTTTCTTTCAACGTACAAAAATTAAGGCTACATTTCTTTTCTTTGGTGGTATTGGAATTGTTTTATTTGGTTGGCCAATGGTTGGAATGATTTTTGAAATATATGGATTTTTTCTTCTGTTTGGGTTAGTTTAATATCTTTTTTCTTTTGTTTGATTAAGTTAAATGAAATCTTGTTTTTTTTTGTTTTAGTGGTTTCATTCCAATTGCAATTAATTTTCTTCGACGTTTGCCAATCATCGGTTCAATTTTATTGTTGCCGGGTATTCGACAAGTTAGTATTGAAAATTTGTTTTTTATTTTCGTGATATACAAAAGAAAAATATTATTTTATGTTTTTTAGGTTGTCGATAGATTATGTGAAAGTCGATCGATGGTATAAAGATGATTTTCTTTTCTTTTTGTTTTTGTTAGTTTCAATGTATTTGAACAATCGTTTCTTTTTTCTTTTTTTTTGTTTTTCAACATTCACTCTCTCTCTCTGTATGTGTTTGGAATTGTTAAGAAGAAAAAAAAAACAAACAAAAATAAGCTTGAAAAATTCAACAAAACATATATGTTCTTTGATTAGGAACTATTCAAGCTCAATCATTTTTCTTTTGTTTTTAGATGATTTTTTGAAAATAATTATTATATTATTCATGAATATTATACTAGGAACATAATGTTTGTTCAATGTGGTTTACAATCGATATTAAGAAATAGTAAGATGAATTTCAATTGATTTAGAAAAAAAAAATTAAAATTTAGTCAATTTGAGTTGATTAAAATTAAAAGATTATTAATTAGTAAATTCGAATATTTGAGATAATGATTTTGGTACAAGTGAATATTAAGAAGTATGTAAAGTATGAAATACAATCAAGATTTGCTTTCATATTTTCTTTTAACTAAACACTGCTGGTCTTTCACACAAATATAATATTAATTTTATGAATGAAATTTTTGAATTCTGTGTTCTGTCCTATATAACAAAATGTTTTTGAATTTCTTCCAAGTCTTTTTTCTTTTTTTGTTTTTAATAAGACTAATTTATGATGCGTGACTAATTGAGATCATGATTATGTATAATAAGTATATACACAAGTAGATTTCTGTCGATAAATAACTAGATTATGACATGATTAAACTGTTTTTTTTTCATAAACTGATTCAGTTTAGTATTACAACGTGTTTGAATAAAACTAATTCCTTTTGTAGGTCTATTCTTAATTTTATTTTATTTTTTCGTTATTATTATCTATAGCTCATCGATCATTAAAAAGTACATGTATAATATTTACATATAATGTTCAACATAATATTCTTCGAACCCTTTCATCGAGGTCAGAGAACTTGCTAATATTACTTAAAATGTATTCTAGTCGGTTTGTTTTTTTATTATTTTTGCTTGCAGTTCTTTCTATCGTTATCGATATGATTTATTATTACGACAAAATGTAAATCGTTTATCAAAACGAACACAATCTAGCTTCACACCACCTTCAAACAATAATAGTAATCAATCAGTTTCATCAGAAAAAAATCCATCTACAATAACAACAGTATTAAAAGGTTTCAATCTAAATATAATATCAATAGAACTCATCTGTTTACTTTTAGCTCGTCCACGTAATACACAAGTAAATGATGTTCCTGAAAGTTATACAGATAATAAACTTATTACAGCTGTACGAGCTATGCATGAATATTTATTAAGTCCATCGTGGGTTAATCTAAAACTATAGAAAAAATATTTTAATATATATATATATATATTTTTTATGTAGAGATTTAGAAACACTTCAAAAATATAAAACACGTTCACCTTATACAGATGTTGCTGATAGTTCACGTATGCTTACAGTTTATCGACGAGGTGATGTCGAAAAACGGTATGAATAAATAAATAAATAAATAAATTTAAAATAATTTCATTTTTATTTTTATTTATTAGAGCTCATGAAGTGTGGGGTAGTCAAGAAAATTTAAATAAAGAAAAAGCTAAACGAACTAAAGCTCTACGAGATGAAGATGAAGGTATGTATTTAGAAAAGAAAAAAATAACAATTAAAGCATACCAAAAGTAGTAACGAAGGTACTTCTATACCATTTAGTATCATAATAATAAAATTTTAATAAGAGCTGTTAGTTATTATAGATGACGATAATACTTAATTATTTTGAATAATTTTTAACGTACTCGAGATCAATAATTGCAGTTTTCAGTATTAAAAATACTAAATGAAGACGGGGCGGCATCGTGTATTATTTATTTTACAATTTTTGTGATGCTTTTATTTTTCTAAGGCCTGAAAACTACTGTGTCCAGTTTTTCAGAAATCTTACCATAATCGTTCATCTATAGAATTTCGATAGAGAAAAATCCATTGGCTATCAAAACCACTATCTAGATTTGAGCTAGGTACCTAACATTATAGAAAAAAAGTTGTAATTTCTGAAGAGTTAAGTAAAAAGATAATGAAGAAATGTGTCTGGAATTGCGTTGATAGCGTTTATTATTATTATTATTATATTAGTTAAACAATGATGAAATATAGAGCATCAATTTTATTATGACCATATATAGAGAAAATGTTTCCTGAACGTTTCTATATAGTATTGAAATACCTTCGACACTATTTTTTATATACTTGAAATATTTTCAAAAATCATTTTTTTCTATTTCATCTAGCTAAGTTTGGTTTAAAAAAAGCCATTAAAGAATATCAAAAACGTTTAATATTAATAGAAAATGCATCATTTGATAATCGAAAAGCAGTAAATCAAATAAAAAATATTCTTCGATAACAAATTATGTTTATTATTTATTTAGGTTAAAAAAAATATTCTTACCACTGGTAGTGGAAAAGTAGTTATTGCAGCTGTTCTTATGTAAGAGAGAAGTTGTTTTTTTTTTGTATTTAATTCAAAAAGAAAATCTTTTGTTTTTTATTTTCATACTTCTAGTAATGCAACAAATGCCGTTGTTAAAACTATTGGTTGGTTATTTACAGGTTCGGCTTCATTATTTTCTGAAGCAGTACATTCCATTGCTGATACATGTAATCAACTTATATTATCATTTGGTTTATGGCAATCAATCAAAAAACCTAACCCTGAACATCCGTAAATACGAACGAACTTTACATAATTAATAATTCAATAAAATTCCATATTTAGTTATGGTTATTCAAATATGACATATATATCTTCACTTATTAGTGGTGTAGGAATATTCTGTTTTGGCACAGGTCTAGCTTGGTATCATGGTATATTAGTATTATTATATCCTCAAGAAATGGAATCTGTCGTTTGGGTAAAGAAAGATAAAAAAAAACCATGGAATTTTATGGTTTTTTTTTTCTAGGGTATAACACTTTTAAGTGGTTCATTAATATCTGAAGGAGGTTTGATTTCCATTATTTTTTTTTTATTTTGATTTCTTGTTACTATTGTTATTTACAGCAACACTTTATATGGCTGCTAATGAAATTCGAGCATCAGCTAAAGAAACTGGCATGAAATTTTGGGAATATGGTATTGAAATTTGTTTATTATTTTATTAAGATTTATTATTATTATATTTTTTTTCTCTTTGATAGTTAGTCAAGGATATAAACCAAATGTAAATGTTGTCCTATTAGAAGATTTAGCAGCTGTTTTAGGTGTATGTGTAGCTGCTACGGCTATGGGTCTTTCACTTTATCTTCATTCACCTATTCCAGATGCCATTGGATCACTTATTATTGGTTGTATTTTAGGTGGTGTTGCTTCTTTTATTATTTATTCAAATACAGCTGCACTTGTTGGACGGTAAATTGAAATAATTTTTAATCAATAATAAAACAAAATATTTTTCATTATTTATTATGAAAGATCTATTCATCCGAATCAGATTGAAGCTATTAATAATGATTTAGAAAATGATCGAATGGTTCGGTAAATACTTATTATATGTTAAATTAATAGATTTCATTTAATTTAATGTAATTTTAGTGCATTGTATGATATTAAAGCAACTGATATGGGTTCACAATCAGTTATGTTTAAAGCTGAAGTTGATATTGATGGAAGAGAAATAGCTCGATCGTATTTAGAAAGAATTGATATTGAACTTCTTCTTAAAGTTTGAAATAGTAGATTTTATTCTATTTTTTTTGAATTTATGATTTTTTTTGTTTTATTAAGGAAATTCAAAAAATTGATACAGCTGAATCAGTTGAAATGTTTCTTCTTAAACATGGAGAAAATGTTGTCGATAGAGTTGGAGCAGAAATTGATCGTATCGAACGAAATCTTCGAGTAAAATTCCGTTATTGATTATCCGGTTTTTTTGTTTTGATTGATTGTCTTTTTTGTTTTAGAAAAAGCATCCCTATTTACGACATGTTGATTTAGAAGTTCTTTAGCATACAATGTCTCTATTGTAGATTTATTTTTCATGTATTCAATCACTTCTTCCATGTAAATATATATTCATAACATGCACATATTTTAAACAGTTGATAGAATATACAACTTTCGTTGAAATTTTATGATTGCTTATAACTCAGTTTTTTGAACCTGAAAATATTATTGACAGTTTGATATACTGTGTAATCTGAAAAGAAAAGTTCTCTAACTGATAAATTGCTTTTGAGTAGAGACTACGTACGTTATGTAGAATCAAATGAGTTATTATAAGTCAAAATTCAAAAATCAATTTTCTCAAGGGGATTACGGAATTCATTCAAAAAAAAATGCCGTAAAAGTGCAGCAATAACCTAATGGTACAAACTCTTTTCACGGTATTCATAAGTCATTTGAGTCTATATGGTGTACAGAGTCTTGACTCAAAAGCGACTAATCAGTTGAAAATATTCTATAGTTCGTATTATATATAATAGAGTCAACTTAATCTTGCTTTTCATATTGCTCTTTGATATCTATTCTTTAATAATCATATGCTAACCATTAATAAATATTGCTTAACATTTCCATTTCGGTGATAGAAGATACATCAAGCATAACTTTATTGTTTTAATTTTGATACGTAAATATCATTATTTGACTAATTAAGTGTAATTAGTGTATTATTGTGATCCATTGAATATGCAAGAAGAAATCATCGATCATATTAAATAAATTCTATTTGATTAGTATTATAAATATTAATTTTGCATTTGTTGAAATCTTTTCTAAACTTACAATTATACTTTAACAGCAGTTTCTTTTTTTTTAAACCACAAAGAAAATGTAAAACTCACAATGAATATGTGCATATCATAGTTATATCATTCTTTGATTTGTATTTATCTAATACGAGAAAAACAATTTTGTTTTTCTTTGCATTATTCGTTCTCTTCATTTAGTTCTGTAGTACTGATATATTTTTAATATTTGTGTATTTGTCTACTTTTTGTAAATTTATTTGTGTTCTATGTTTTAACTCACACTCCTTTTGAATAATATCTCTTTAATAATGTATAACAAAACTACATCAATCAATAATCATTTGGTTATATAACTGTAACAATAATTCATCATTTAAGAAACAAGTTCTTGACAAAATATGTGTAGAATAAAGATATTAATTGTCTAATCTAACGGTATTATTTCCGTCGACAGAATGACCAGAAGAGCGAAAGCACAAATTAACTTCATCTTGCTTTGCAAAAACATTATATTAGGATGACTCAAAGGAAGAAGTTCTTACGATAGATTTTAAGTGCTTTGATATATAATGAATTAGCAGTTGTAGATCAGCATTGGCTAAGTGTGATGTATTCAAATGAACAATAAAAACTGTTACTCACGATTTTCTAATGATTGATCAAAAAAGTACTTTGTAGATTTATAGGATAGTCTCAATGCGACTTTGTTCAAGTAATGAATATGGAACTGGTTCCGGTCTTATGATTTGTCTTACTCCTGTCAAATATTTTTAGTCAAAGAACGAAGTTGAGGATCTTTATTGCTGAACAAATCAATTGAGTAAAAGATCTCTTTTTCTCCTTTGGTAAATGTTGAAGTCAGAAAAAACCTAACAAATGAGAACTATACTGACTTCTTCCAATGAAGATCAAAAACACTGCTCGATCGAATTTCATCGACCCAGATTTATTGAAGAACATCAATAGATCTTTCGTTTTCATTAACTGATAAAAATCTATCATGAATAAATATCGCATAATGATACACAAGAAATGAATCAGAATGATGGCGATAGGTCTATTTTTTCGAGTGTAGCTAGGTGATACTCTGATAAAGATTGCATAAGGAAGAGCGTATTTTTATCATAAAATACTGTTGTCGTTCTGATTTATGAATATTTTTTTGTTGAATAGCATTAAGTGCAAACTGAGTCTCTATAATTCATATATTTCTCTTTTTTTCCTTTTATGTTCTCTTTTAGCTATGTCTATATGGTTCGACATACTTCTTTCGTCATTTTTGCTTTTTTTCTTTAAATATAAACTTACATATGAATAATAAAAAAGAAAAATTTCTTTTTTTTTGTTTTACCTTCATTGATTTTATATGAATGAAGAAATAGTTAAATTATTTATCATCATTGTATTTAATTGTTCGATACTTATCTGATGATGCTACAAGGAAAAAACATCGAAATCTCATACATTTATTTTATTTTACATCCTTTCATATTTAATTCAATTTTTTTTATTTATTCCATTGAGTGATTGATTGTAATACATTTTCATCATGATATAGCTATATAATAAACGATAAAATAAAACATGATAATGTTGTTATCGTTTCTTTGTCATAGTAGAGGGGGCTAGTATTAAACTTCAAACTTATTTTAGTACTAAGTAGATAGAATAATTTATCAAATTTTCGAAAAGTATGCTCTTGTTCTATGTAAAAATGATGAGCTTTAAAATGATTTCAGAACTTCTGAGATCCTCGTAATATGTGTGAGTAGGCAAACGAAGACAGAAGTAATCCCATGTCGTCAAAATCGCCTAAGTTTGAACGATTAATCGGCGTTTTTTTAATATTGGCGATACATTGCGATTAAATCGGCGATTTATTTAACTTAATATTTTTTGACTCAACAAAAGAAAACAGCAATGTTGAGTAATTTCTGACCTGAAAACTGATTTAAGAATATTCCTAGTATGCTATAGCTGATAAGTGTGCAGCCTTTGCAAGATTAAAATGTTCCACCATCTATCGTTCTAGTCTCATTTTATATTGACTGATTAGTTCTGACCAATATGACAAAAATGGCGACGCTTCTTTGTTTTACACTGTCAAAAAAAATGCCACGCGTCTTATCAGACGGTGCATGTGCCTATAGTCTAGTATAGACACATGTTAGATAGGTGATGCGTCTTATTTTTAAACACCTGGATCTAATGGACACCGGTACGTCTTGTTCATCATCTCAATTGAACATGGAATCAGTCGCTACCGACACAGAATGAATTTTGATGTAGTGAAATATGTGTAGGAAAGATATTTTTAAATTATACTTTTCTAAATATTCGTTGGATTAACTACGGTAAGGGCTTGATTATTAGTACTAACTGTAAGATAACGTGAAATGTAACATTTCTAAACTGATTCTCAAAGCAGCTACAACGAAATAGCTAGTAATAATATTAACGACCAAGGAAACAATGTAAACATCTTTGTTCAAGTAGTGAAAACAAATGAAAATTCTTTGCTGTTTATAGAATACATATATATTAATAAAAATAGACTAGTACCCTCTTTCGTTATATTTTTGTTAGACAAAAGTGGCTAGTCAGAAGTTGAACAACGGTCAGCTTAATTGCTTTTGATCATTATGCTTTGTCTAAAATCACTTAATTATCTTGATTTATGTATCTACTTAGTACTATATTTTTTTAGCTTTAGTTAATAGAATGGTAAGTTTCATTCGATGTCTAAGTTTATTTATCTTTTTTTTTATAGATTTATATGCCGTTGTCTATATCTAACTTTGGTTCAACACATTATGAAATAATCAAATAAGTAAGTTCATATATCTGCTACTTTTTTCAGATCGTCTTATTTGAGTTTATTTCTTGTCATTTGTGATTAGAACTTTGATTCACAAATCAATTTAGTATAACAAGGAGTACATAATGAAAAACATTTAATCGAATGTCAAATGTTATCTCAATTGAAATATTTTGTTTTTAGAATTAAAATATGAAATTATCAAGAAGAGGTAGGAAAAACTTTTGTTCGCTAATTTACTTTCCTTTTATTA